CCGACATTTGATTGTCCAATTGTAACACAAAATAATCAGCTTATGGGTCCTGGGAAAGTAAGTCTAGAATTGTTTTTTAAATATTTATTTATTTAATGTTTTGTCCAAGGGGGTGTAGTCAGGACCCTGAGACCACTCCAGATCCACCAATGATCTCCCTCCCCAATTCACTCGTAGATATGACACTGGAAATCGAGTGTACTTGTTTTTGCATTTGGCACCCAATGGCTGCAGGAATGATTTTATCGTATTCCTTAATTAAAAAACGGCGCTTTTGTAGGGTGGGGGGTGGGGGGTATATTAAATCGCTTGCTAAATGCAGGGTGGCAGATACTGGCAGCTAAACTTGGCATTAACGTAAAGCTTAGGCTCTGCCAGAAATGTTGATGTTAAAAGCATGACGAAAATCGCCGGCAATTCTAACTTTTAAGTTGGTTTTATGAAAAAAATGTTTTTAAGCGTTTTTGGCTCATATTTAGTGTCCTTTATTCTAAAAATATATCAATAATGTCATTTTTTATTTTAATATCTAATTTAGTTAACAATAGGCAAATACTGCAAGAAGTATCAAGTTGAATGCTTTCATCTAAGTAAAGTCATAGGAGTTTTTCAAAACTGTCAATTTTATCATTTTACGAGTAAAATACAATTTTTTCATGTTCTCATGGTTATATCACACTATGAAAATTCACTAAATATGAAATTATTGGTGGATTAATATAATTTAGGATGTTCTCGACCTCAAACAACCTTTAAAAGTTGGAGTTATCACATTACCTATTTTCGACTTTTGGCACACTTTGAATTGATTCTGGCCCACTGTGCGACGGTGTTGAAAATAGCACGTTTCTTGTCCGCATCCTCAATGTCGTTCGCCTTAAAGTATTCGTCTAATCGTAGAACATACGTCTCAAACCGCTCTGTTTCGGAACAGAAACTCACCTATCTTACCATTCGTCGGCATTTCGGCAATATTCTGACACCATGTAAAAAGACTGAATAAAGAGAGACAGCTTAAAGTGTCGTGTGGGTTTTCCTTTATTATCACTGCTTCACTCCTGTATATAACAACAACCAATATGGACGACATGGAGTCGTTAAACTAGAGAGGGCGGCATGATAATATTAACTATCAATAATAATAATAATAATAATAATAATTATTATTATTATTATTATTATTATTATATAATAATAATAATAATAATAATAATAATAATAATAATAATAATAGTAATAGTAACAGCAATTATGGAATTCCTGAATCAATGGACCCTAATAAACTAAACAAATTTAACGTTTAATAGGAATATAATAGGCCTAATTTAAAGATTCAAGGAACGAAAAGCCTCCTCCTGACAGGGCCGTAGCTTAGCATAGTTATGAAACCTGTATTACCGGTCTGCACCGACCAAAAGGTAACTACTGTATGTTCTTTCAAATGCTTTAAGAAATATTGATTTTTTTTGACGAAGGTCTATCAAAATAGCATTACAAACAAGTTCTTCTAACACACAGGTGGGCAAAGTGCCCGACAGTGATTTTATTTTGCTGCCCGCGAAAATAAATTGAAAACCAACCATCTTTGGCTAGAAAAACCTTGTTTTTTTTCGGCTAGAAACCTATTATCTGTAAAATATAATATTAAAACTGAGCAAAAACTCTAAACATTTAATAACATACAAGAAGCTCATATTTAGTTACAGACGTACATCCAATAAATCGGCAAGAATTCATAGGCCAAACGTAGGTAAACATAAAAAGATACTCGAGCGTCACGACATTGCGAAGTGCCTGTTCTTGTTCCTAATAATTACCCAGTATCGTATCGAACTCGAGTCGAGTCAATCCGTGACGGCCCGAATGAAGTTTCACGCAAATGTTTTGTACGGGAAAGAAACATCGCTTACCTCCTACCTTCGCAATGTTAAGGAGTTGTTTGCGTTACACTACCCTCACAGGGTATTTCTTTACAGTACGAGGTACTGTACTAGTTAGTGCGGAGCTATGCGACGTCGATGAACATACATAAGTGTCATAGTCTTTGTACCGTAAATAAGATAGAAACTCCAGTTGGTTTGTTAGCTAGCTAGCCCAGGCCATTTAAGAGCTATTCTCAAGCCGAGTACAAGTTTTATGATAGTGTATAGTCTAGGAAAAATATAAAAAGAGGCCTAGAAATCACTTTATGAGGATTGGAATATTAGAAGCCGCAGTCATCCATGTCAGATATCTTTATTGACATTATCTGCTCACCCCCAGCCTGGATGACATTTGCGTTGAAGCCTTATAATATAAGGCTCCGATGCAAATGTTCGCATATTATGCGAATTATGAACTTTTTTTCAAAATGGCCGCCAAATATACAGAAATGTACATAAATTCTGGCAATTGAAGTTCACAATGTGCAAATTTTTTTTTTATTTTTTCTAATAAAGGCATGAAACAAGGAGATGAAATTCTGAAAATTGTACCTCCATGTCCCGTTCATATGCAAATTAGTTAAAATATGCAAATTAGGGGTAAAATTACCGTATAGCATTCAATAACTTTGTAACCAGTGGTCACAGAAACTTGATTTTTAAAAAATTGTTCAGAACATGCATGTTTCTATTCTCTTTAATGCAGTATTTGATTCAAAATTGACCAGAAATGTCAGGTTTCAATCCAGTGGTCACAGAAGCTAGATTTTTGTTTTAATAGTTCAGAACACGCATGTTTTTATTCACTCTAATTCAATGTTTGCTTAAAAAGTACCGGAAATGTCAGATTTGGCCTATTTGACCCTATGCTTTGCAGGAAATATCCATATCTCCAAACTACTGTTTTATGAAAATTTATTTTGGTGTCAAATTGGTCGGAAGCATGTTTCTATTCACCATAAACCAGGGTAATACAACAAGGAAATCATTCACACGTCTATCAATATCCTGTTCAATTAGCTAAAATATGCATCTTGTAGGTAAAATTATAGAGTTCGATAAATTTGTAACCAGGGGTCACAGATTAAATTTTGTTTTAAATAGTTAGTTAAATAGTAAACCAAGATAGTAAAACGAGAAGATAATATTTCAAAAACCACACCTCCGTTCATATGCAAATTAGCTAAAATATTCAAATCAGAAAAAATAGGGGCAAATTATAGCATTTGATAACTTTGTAACCAGTCAATTTTGAAGCAAATTTTGCGTTAGTGTGAACGGACACCTGAAAAATCTTGTTTCAGTGACCACTGGTTGCAAAGTTATCGAAACCTATAATTTTACCCTAATTTGCATATTTTAGCTAAATTGCATATGACTGAGGTGTAATTTTTGGAATGTCCTCGTTGTATTACCTTGGTTTATAGTAAAAAGAAACATGCATCTGACAAATCTGACGGGTCTATAAAAACGAAGACCGAAACATCCAAAAGCGAAGACCGAAAAACGAAGACCTCCAATTATTTCTCAATTATCTTGTGGGCCTTCGTTTGTCGGGTCTTCGTAAACACCTAGAGTGTTTATAAAACGAAGACCCTTAATTATCTCATCCATCCTATGTTGGTGTCACTACCTAATGACCGTAAAGCATTTTATTCCGATAAAATAATGAAATAGGTACTTGGCAACTGCTTTATGATGATTTTGAAATACTTTCAATAAGATAATTGAGAAATAATTGGAGGTCTTTATTTTTCGGGTCTTCAGTTTTCGTTTTATAGACACCCATATAGGGTGTCTATAAAACGAAGACCCTTGGAAATTTCACAAAATAACGCCCAAAAAATGCCGTAATTTTGAATTTTTGACAGCCTGGCGTAGTATCATAAAAATGAAAGAGAAAAAATAGGGGTCTTTCTTGCACCAAAATTGATTCCCTAAAAACAGTAGTTGTGGAGATACGGAAATTTCCTGCAAAACGTAGGTCATAGGTCAAATGTGACATTTCCGGTTAATTTTAAATGAAATGTTGCATTAGAGCGAATAAAGACATGCATGTTCTGAACAATTTAAAACCAAAAATAATGTTTCTGTGATTACTGGTTACGAAGTTATCGAATGCTATAATTTTTACCCCAAATTTACTTATTAGCTAACTTGCATATGAACGGGACATAACAGAGATGCAATTTTCACAATTTTATCTCCTTATTACATGACTTCATTTAAAAAAAAAATATTTAAGTTTGCACATGACAGATTTTTATGTACATTTCTATTGGCAGCCATTTTGAAAAACGTCCATAATTTGCATATAAGACTCTAACGCATATGTTATCCAGGCTGGGGGTGACCAGAAGGTGTGAATAAAAACATCTGGCGTGGATGACAGCTTCTAACATTGCACTCCTCATGACATCATTTTTTTCAATTTTTTTCCTAGACTTAGAAATGCAATGTACGGTATTTACAAATTTAAGGTCTAAACAGGACTGTATTGTATATCACTTTAAGTTGATAGCCACACCAGAGGCGCTTTTTACAGTAGTAGCTAAAGGATTGCTCAGGTTCTTCCAAAGGCACCCAAATTAATCCATAGATTTTTCATACAATACTGTTTCAGTTCAATGACCTTAAGAGTGAACTCATAAGGTCACCTAATTTCCATAATTTAAAATGGGACCCTTTTATACATAAGAATTTAGATCTTTGTTACTGCTGGTCACAGAGAATTGATTTTTGTCTAATGAAAAGTTTTGTTCATAAATGTTCGGAAATGCCCTTACTGACATCTTACCAATATTTTTTTTAAATTTTATCATCTTAAAAAAAACATGACATCACATACAGAAAACATTTCAATCATAGCATTAAAAAAAAGTATAATATAAAATAAGTTATTTTTAAATTAATTAACTAATTAATTAAGGATATATATATATATATATATATATATATATATATATATATATAATGAAATGAAAAGACTTGCTAAGGATTTTTTTTATTGTTTATGTTGTAATACATTATTGCATTAAAAAAAATATGTTAAAAAAATAATATTTTATAATCTCTTAGTCAAATATGACAAGTGACTCGGTTTGGACGGTAAATAGTGGAGTCGATGACATATCCAAGTTGAACATCATAGACAATGTCGATGGTAAAAAGTCGCTGAATTACTGGAGAAGTGAATATGCCAACATGTTAAATGGAACAGGTAAACTTTAAACTTTAATAAAATAATACAAACTATCCCTTCTTTTAATTGCCATTATTATGACTATTGTTCAATTTATCTATTGATTACAGTTGATATAGACTAATATATATTTTCTATGAGTTATAATTCCCATTCTCCATTTCAGGAATGTTGGTTTATTCTAAACATTCTGAATAAGCAGTCCCTTGGGGATTACAGCATAACATGCTCCTATATTTCACTTGTGTTCGGGAAAGGTTTATGACGATATATTTCAACATTATAAAGTTTTAACATTATAGAGTCTTTTTAACTGGGGATTTCAATTTAAGCTCAGTAAATTTGAATGACGTATTTAATGGTACTGTCAACAAAACTACAACATTATTCTAGGCAGCTTTTATAACTAAGTAATACTACTCTGTTTCACACACTCTGGGATCATCTAACCATTTATCTTTAAATGTTATACTTAATTTACCTGAACAAGATACTAATAAGTTTAATAACGTTTTGTAAAAGAAAGTGTTGATTGGAAAAGGTTAACTGTTATTAGAAACAGACTTCGGTATATGAATAGACACAGTTATCATATTCTGTTAAATTAGGCATTGCATTTAAGTAAAATCATATTAAGACAGCTGAAGTACCAAGTTGCACATTTTAGTAGAGCAGCTAAGGGCCACGTTGTGCAATTCATTACCAAAGCATGAAACTTGGCACAAATATCTCTGATGTGTGTAGATTTTAAAAAAAAAGTTGTGTGCCTAGTTCCTTACGCCTACTATGGCCGCCAATTTGAATTAAAAGGCCGCCTCTAAAAGACAAGATTTTGGTCTCAAATTGTTTGGAACATACATGTTTCTATTTGCACTAATGCAATATTTTGTCCAAAGTGACCAGAAATGACATTTATAAACTCTGACCTACAAAACTTACAGAATATCCCTATCTCTATAACCGTTAATCACAGAGACCTAATAATTTTGGCCTCAAATTTTTCAGAACATGCATGTTTCTATTTCCACTAATGTAACTTTTTGTCAAAAAATGACAGAAAATAATGCTTCTAACCTTTGTCCCTAGGTATGCTGTAGCATGTCAATAACCGTTGGTCATAGAAACATTTTACCCTAGGTACATTGTAGCATATGCATATCTGAATAACCGTTAGTCATAGACACCTAATTTCAATCTTAAGTTTTCTGAGAAATTCTGTATATGTATATAGTTGCTTTTACACCAAAAGTGATCGGAAATGACATTTCTGATCTTTGACCCTACCAGCATAATTATACATATCTGCTGTATACCAGATATATTACGCTCTAATCTATATGCTCTAATGAAGAATTTTGTCCTATGGTCAACGGATATATATCTGACATCTGACTTAATTGCCTTAAAATATCGATCAAATTCTTTCTAAATATATTTACATTTTTACTAAAATTTTATTGAATAAATTCATCTGGTTCCAATTTCAATTTATTGAAATTATTACTTTTATGTTGAACCAAAAAACGTACAATAGATTACCTTAACGTCTCATTGGAAGACTGCTAACTTCTTCAGACTGAAGCATGTGCTATAGTGATCTAAAAAAATTTGTTGAAAAATACTGAAAATACTTATTTTGATCTTTGACCTTAGTAATCTTAGTAATTATTTATTTTATTTCACCCAACAGCATGAACTCCAATAACAGGGAGCATATATAAATAAAACATACAATAATGAGAACATTCAAAAATATCTGGCCATAGATATTATTTTTGGTTTATTAAAATAAAAATAGACGTTTCTTCTATAATTTATATAAGCCTGCAGCTCTAATACCTTGTATTGATTGGTGAGGTGGAGACGCCACCTTAAGTGTGCGACTTATAAAATGTAATTAATAATTGTTTGCTTTTCCATTATTATATTATTACTGCATAATAAACAAAAATAATCAAATTACATTGATTCTTATAATCTTTAGACAAACTTTTGTATGATTAAAGCACTTTATTTCAAGTTATTTCAGTACATATGTTAGTTGGCAATACTTCATTATAGACTAATGTTGTTAGCCATAACCCCATCTCGGAAAGCTTGGGATACCGGGATGGTGTCCAGCTGAAAAGAGAATACCGTTAACCATAACTAGATTTTAAATGATGCTTCCTTCCAAAGACGGATGTTTTTATGGCACCTTAGCTACAAAATGTGGAATGCAAATATTTATCTTTTTGTTTTTATTTATATATTCTTTAATTTGTTACTTTTATTTGATGTGTCATTTCTACAATACAAAGTATTCACACTGAGTTTTAAAGTTATATCAGAATATTATTTACAATTCGATATGTTTTATATGTAGATTAGGATCATCCTTACAGTCAAGGATCGTTAAGACAAACACAACTTTCCATGATGATCCATCTTCTCGAATATATCATGCTATCAGCAACATTTGAAGACCAATAAATTTTTTTAAACTTCTAAAAAAATGTATTTCTTCAACATTAATTTGCCTGCATTTTTTTTTTGGGACCATTGTATTGGCCACCATCGAATATAAATGTCCTTTGGAAGGGCAAATGCATAATTATCTCATTCTTTTACTCGAGCCACCTAGATAGTGTCCGGGGTTGGGTTAGGGTGGTGACGGTAACCCCTCACAGATTCTGTATACAGTATTCATTTTGTTGTGCCATTTCTTTGTACTTTCTTTTGTGTGTGTATTTGTTTATCAAAATATTTTGTGAATGTGAAGCAAAAAGGAGCTTTTTCATGCGTTATGCGCTAGGTCTACAACTGTCTTATTTTTATTACTGTTATTATTAGAAACGCAGGAGTATCCTAGGTGGATGAAACATTCTGTTCTTGTTTTGATAAAACAAACATTACTAAGGCCATGTAGAGGCCAAAACAAGCATTTTCAGCATTTTGTCGACAACATTCTCAATGAAGGTAAATAGATGCTTATTCTGGCATTTGAGACCATAATCAAGTCTCTAAAATTGGGAAGATGTGGATATTTCAAGATATCTAACGTCAAAGGTCAAAATTATCATTTATATTCACGATAAGAAAAATACATGCTGGTTATCAGAGTTCAAAGGTCAGAAATGTAATTTCCAGTCACATTTTGGTAATATATTGCCTTAGAGCAAATAGATACGTGTATGTTCAGAATACCTGTAGGTCAAAAGTGAGAAATGTCATTTCAGATCTCTTTTGCACCAAACGTTGCAGTAGTTCAAATAGCGACATGCATATTCTGAACAATTTGAGGCCAAACCTAGGTGAGGGCAATTCCATGGTCACAGACCGACTTTTTAAGGCATTCATAATGGTAAAAAAATGTTCAAATATTACAGATAAACCAGTAAATCTGAAATTCCAAGTAAATTTTATACTCTTTCCCACATTCCGTCCATGACCAATGGTTATAAAGGTATAGATATGCTATATGGTCCTTTAGGTCAAAGGTCAGAAATGTCATTTCCAGTCACTTCCAGACAAAATGTTGCATTAGTGCAAATAAATAAATAAATATATATTTGGTCTCTATGACCAAATGTTATAGAGATATAAATATCCTACAGAGTACCTAGGGTCAAATGTCATAAACTTCATTTCCAGTCACTTTAGGACAACATGTTGCATAATAGAAGCATGCGTGTTCTGAAAAATTTGAAGCCGAAATTATGTCTCTATGGTAAACAGTTTTTTAAAATATGGTATGCTGAGTATCTAGGGTCAAATTTCAGAAATGGAATTTCCGGTCATTTTTGGGCAAAATGTTACATTAGAGCAAATAGAAATATGTATGTTCCTAACAATTTGAGACCAAAATCTGTGCCAAAGTTAAGCCTGTACGATTTTCCGTTACCAAGATGGATCCGTTCTTTTAGAGACGGTCGTGTTCGTAAAATAGTATTAGATTTTTAATATGAGGCTTGTTACTTTATAAAATATGTTCGGTAGTTTAACCTACATTTGGGACCTATTCTATCCAAAATGGATGTGACAAGCGATGGTCGCCACTATGTCCTAGAATTTGTCAAACCTAGTATAGTATGCATAGGCCTACTGGCAATATATGCTAACCGACCCTCATTTTACAAAATTAGCCTGCGTGGGTAATGCAAAGTGGTAGATGAGGGGCGGGGAGAGGTCGTATTTACCATGAGAGTTATATTAAGCATTTCTTACTACCGTTTATATTCCTTCACAATTTAGGAGAATATAACAAACTCAATTCAAGTTAATGACCTTGGATTGACAATTTTCTTCTTACCTGTCAAATTCAAACTGCTAAATGTGTTTAGAAATTACTACCGTTTTTGAAGCAGCACACACAATTAGACAGCACCATGTATTCTATTTAAAAAAAATCATCAAAGTTTTGCCCCTCCGCTTTGAAACCACGATTAAAACAACATCACATTGAGACATGTATATAAACACTAAATTAGGCATGTAAAATTAAAATTTAAAGATTGAGAAAAAATAGGATAAGAAAAAATAAAATTCAATGAAACCCTCTGCTTATACTACTGAAAGGGTGCAACGCTAATGTATGTAGTCTGCTGTTTCATTTATATAATGTAATTTTAAGCATACTGTAGAATCAGAAGATTTATTAATTTATTCATATAGTCCATCTGTGATTTTATCATCAACATTATCAATGTCTACAATAGATATAGTTCATATATTTCAGATGGGACATATATGCACCCTGAACTAGACCAAGAGAAGGACAACCGAATTTACATTTATGTTGGAATCATTTGTAGGTTAGTTCTGATAATTGTTTATTCCTCCTTCTTTTTGCTTTGTTTTCTTTTTTTTTTTTGTCTTTTTTTTTTTTTTATAGCAAACTCCTTTTAAAGACTAAATTCCCTCCTTTTACCTATAATTTCTACACTTATCACTGTATTTTTCTCAACAACCTGTACCCTACATTATATAAATCGTACTGCATATTAAGCAATTATAGTCATTTTTGAGTACACTATATAAAATATAAGCTGCTAGTTATAAAACGGTTGCTATAGGTTGCTCAGTGATCACTGTCCGTGTGCATTAACTGCGCATATTATTAGAATGATTTCTTAGTAGCACCATGGAGTACCGTGGATTCCATTAAAGTAATGGAATTAAGTCAATACGATTTAGGTAAGGGATGCCTCACGAAGACATTCGTACTTCCTTTAGCCTATATTTGTGATATATTAAAAAATAAATAGTATAATTCTTTGTAAAAAATGTATTTCATTTTAAAAAAGCTCTTGTTACCGGATAACATAGCAGTTAGGCCTCGTAGGCCTTACATGCTAAGATTGTTTTTTTATTCGATTTTTTTATCTTTCCTGATGGTGATGCTTACGATTACTATGAATATTTTATTATTGTTATTGTTGTTTACAATTTTGATGACATCTAAGAAAAATCAAGCGCTCACCAAAGCATTGCGAAAGAATGAGCACCAAAATTATGTCATGCAAGGAAGGTAGGTACGACCACCCAATGTATTCCTTTTGATCAGTGATACCGAATAATCAAGAGTAATATTATACTATAATCTTTCTAGAATCGGGACACTTATACAATAACATAAGATATGCAATACAGGTATATTAAACACAACTCAACTGAAGAATTTAAAATAATAATAGTATTTCACCGTTATCAACAAGCACCCTCTCAAATAAATGCATTTATTTATTTATTCATTATTTATAAAACAATTACAAAACAATACAAAGCACATGCTTACATTGAATTGAAACTTTCAGAAGGGTCGGCATTATATACACTAAAAGGCAGAAGGTGCAAAGCATGGAATGTTGCTAGAATAATGTTGTTTGACCTGTCCCTGCATTCCAACACTATGCAACCACATTTACTTACTCATAAGTTGTTAAACATGAATGTCGCAAATCAATTAACTAATTTCCTCACAAATAGATATCAGTTTGTAAAACTGAATGATTATGTTAAATCTGAATGTGTAGTCAGTAACACTGGTGCACCGAAAGATACTGCTTTCTCTTTTTCTTTATACTGTGTTTACATCTAACAATAATAGGTCCAGCCATCAAGACTGTCCAGTTATCAAATTTGCTGATGACATGATAATGACAGCTATTACACATCTGAAATTGAATTTTTTGTCAGATATTGTAAAGATAATCTTCTTAAACTCAATGTTTCCAAGACAAAAGAAATGGTTATTGATTTCTGTATAAAATACCAAAAGGAATCTAGAAATATCGCCATTCATAATAATCCAGTGGAAAAGGTATCCAGTTATAAGTGATAAATGGATTAATAGACGTTTGATCAGAAAAGTCAGTAGAATTAGACATGAGATGCCTTCAATTGACTCTGTATTATCACGATAGGGTGACTGAGCAATTCCGTCATATCATTAATGACGAAAGTCATCCGCTTTATAATATGCTTTTGGACTCCGTTAACCCTAGGAGTGGTCGTATGAGAGTACCGATTGCAAACTACAAATAGATATTCATTTAACGCTAAGGGTATAAAATACTTCAGTGAAAATCACAAAAGATAGATAATAATATTGTAATAATAATAATAATAATAATAATAATAATAATAATAATAATAATAATAATAATAATAATAACGGTGATAATGATAATATTTGTAATAATGATGAAAATAATAATAGTGGTTGTAAGGTCCAAATCATTAGTTTGTCTACTGGTAAAGTTACCAGGCTAACCAGGTTGTGCTATGCTAATTAATAATAAGCATAGCTATTGTTCTGATTAGCTGTGTGGTATTGTTGTGTGCAGTTTTATTGTAGCAGCCAAGTGAGCAAGGGGGAATTGTCCACAACTGAGTAATCTATGAATGATTGCATAGAAAGCAAGAAGTTAGGCTTGTTTTTGGATTTATATAGCTGTAATGGTCAACTTATGAAGGCACAACCTTTGGTGAGTTTTATTTTTATGTTATTATTGTTTATTTTGGAATTACAGTAATCATTTGATGTTAATTGCTACACCCAGTCGGTGAGTGTAATGTAGGCTTATAGGTAAGCTTAAAGAAGCCAGTGAATTATTGCTAATGTAAATTATGACTATTTGTTATTAGTATATGAGAATCTGTATTTCTATATTTGCAATGCATTTGCTGTTTATTTGTAGACAAACCCTTTCTTTGTATACTTTCAGTTAATCGGTTCTGTGCGGTTCTATATTTCTGTACAGTCCTGTATGGTTTGTTCATTACGGTTTGAAATGGAAATGGATGGAAGTAAAATCAAAAGTATTCTGAGCCGTATTAACAAATGTGGAAAGTATTATTGACGTTGACCAGTTACATTATTAACAATGGAGCCATAATGGAATCTGAAATGTCAGTTAGGCTAAAGAAGTCCATCCCAAAGGGTGTTGAATATATCAAGGAAGTAAAATATAAGTTTAAATGCACATGATGTTTATTGTTCATTGTTAAGTGAAGCAGAGTTGGAGGCTCACATGAAGGAATGATATGATGAGAAGGAAGTTCGGGTGACCAATTTCAAAGCATCAGTGGAAAGTCGGTTCAGCACGAAGTCATCGGAAGCTCAAGCTCCAAAATTTAAGCCTTCAAAGTCATCAAAAATTAAGTCCAAATCATCATCTATGAAATCCAAATCATCCTCAATATTCAAGATTGAAGAGGAACAGAGAAAAGCTGAGCCATCAGCTAGACAGAAAGACCCTAAAGAAAGGCAAAGGACAGAGATGGAAGAAATTAAGTTAAAGCAACTAAAAGAAAATGATTTGCAAACTAAGCTAGAGGTGTCAAACGCAAGATATAAAGTATGAAGTATCATCAAGTGTACATAGAAGGGTGAACACAGTGAAAGAATCTGTTACCAATATTGAAGAGAGTAATGCAACCAACGATAGAAATGTAGAAGATGAGAGAAGTGTATTGTAGGTAGAGAAGTTCTTAAATAATGCTTACAACAATGTGATAACATGATAATACTCCAACTGTGCAAGTTTATAGTAAAGAGTAAAAGGTTGGCGATGTACTGGTAGCAATGCAGAAGCCAAAACTAGAAATGAAGAAGTTCTCTGGAGCCGTTATAGAATGTAAGCGGTTCATTAGAAGTTTCAAGTCTCGAATTGAGCATGTATGTACAAATGAAGAGTGCATGTCATACCTAGGCCAATTCACAGTAGGCGAAGCTAACCAAATTGTTGTGGAATGTTCTTATTTACACGCTGATGTTGGTTACTCTGCTGCAGTGAACGTGTTAACTGAGAGATATGGTACTTCAGAAGTATTAGCAAATGTTTCTGTGAAGAAATTGTTATCCTGGTCCACTATTCGTTCTGATGATCCTAAAGCTCTGGATAACCTTGCTATTTTCTTGAGTGAGTGCTGTAATGTTCTTGTATATTTCTGGAGACGTTTATATATATGACAGTACAATTAATTGGGTTCAATGATGTGTTCTTTATTCAGTGCTCACTACAAGAGTGTCTATATCTACATTCAATATAAGATAATAACTAACAGGGTTCTTATCTATAAGACCCATGTTACAACTTAGTAACAGTGCTATTTAAAGATCCTGTCACTCAATGTCAGATTCTACTACATCTCACTTTTTGTTTAAAGATGTATTGACAAAATATTCTGTTTTAGCTTCTTACTAATGTACTAATATTATTGCTTAAACTACTCACATGTTATTTTAGATTATCAACCCTTTAGTTTACTTTATACAGATCTACTCTATTCCGTCTGAAATTTTTACCATTATGTTCAACAATATAACTTCTACTACTGCATCTTTCCATTGTTTGTTTTCAGTTCTCATTTTTATTTTGTCACCAACTTCTAGTGGCGGCAAGCTTTTAGTACCTTTATCAAAATTTTTCTTTTGTTTATCCTGTCTTTTAATGAGGTTTGATTTTACATTTGATATAATCTTTGGTATCAACAATTTTGATGACATTGGCAAAACATTTTTTGTTCTGCGTTGATCAACAATTGTGCTGGGCTTGCAAATTCATCAATTGGGCTATTTCTATAATCTATTAGTGCAATAGTAAGATCTATACCTTCTTTTTTTGCTTTTCTAATCAAATTGTTTGGAACCTGGACAGTTTTTTTTTTGCCTTACCATTACTTCTAGGATAGTGTGGGGATGCGGTTACATGATTAAATTGCTATTGTCTAGCAAACTCTTTGAATTCTCTACTTGATTATTGTGGCCCATTATGTAATATTACAGTTTCAGGTATACCGCAAATTGTTATCACTCTCTGACTTGTTGTTGTAGACATTTGATTAATCTCAAAGAAACTTGAATAGTAGTCTACAATTAGCAAATGTTTTCCATTCAACTCAAACAAATCAGTTCCTACGTTTGGCCAAGGATGTTCTGGCCTAACATTTGTTCATTTTGTTGCTTTGGTCTATACTGAGCACAGATATCACATATTTCAACAATATTTCTAATTTCATTTAACATATTCGGCCAATAAACAGCTTCTTTTGCCATTTGTTTAGTTTTCATTATACCTTGGTGAGACTGATGTATTGTTTTGAGTACATATTTTTTCATAGAATTTGGTATCAAATCATCTTCTATTGTGATTTCTTAACGAATCGTCCAATATTGTTTAACACATTTATTTACCATTGATATTGCTTTTGACCAACCGTTTAGTGTAATTTCTTTTAACGCTTGTAGTTCTTCATCGTTTTTAGTTTCTTGCTTTAACTCTTTCAGCTTATTTTTTTACCTTGTATA